CATGATGGTGTATCTAAAAACATATTACAAAAAATAGATTGTTTATGATTACATAAATCTAGGTACAAGACGGTACTGAAATTTGCTTTTTTGATGAAAGAGAAAATTTGCAAGAAAGTATAAAAATAGTAATGAACTATAGAATAGTTTTTTTGTTACTCTAAAATTTCATTCCAAACAATATTTTTAATTTCAAATTTGTTTTCTGATTCAATTTGGATAAAAATTTTTTTTGGGTTTCTACATCTAGACAATGCAACATATAATTGCCCATGAGAAAATAATGGTTTTCTAAGATATGCTCCTAACGCATCAAAATTTTGACCTTGAGATTTATTGATAGTCATAGAAAAAGCTAAGGTAAATGCAAATTGTTTGCTGTACAATATAAATGGTAGCGAAGAAGAATTATTTGTTTGTAGTGTTATTCTTGGAATAAGGACTTTATTTCCTTTTTTTTCACCTGTGATTATTTCAGCTTCGATGTTGTATTTAAATAATTTTGTAATTCGTAATTTTGTACCATTGCAAAGTCCTTCAGATATGTTTAAGTTTCGTATCAACATAACAATAGCGTTAATTTTCAAATTCAATTCATGTGGAGGAAGACCTTCTTTAATACTATTTAAATATTCTGTAGGGAAATTAATATAAATATTATCGTCTGATTTATCTACTCCTTTGTGAGTTGCTTTATCAATACTATAGTACGTTACTAATGTTCCTACCATATTATTTAAAATTTTTTTGTTCAAAAAATGAGTGTATTCATTGTGAGATGTTAATATAGCTTTACTTATAAAAGAATCATCATCATTATTAAAAATTTTAGAACATACATCATTTGTTTTCCATGTCTGAGGAATTATAAAAGTTTTAATTTTGCCTTCTCCTATATCCAGTAGCAATGAAGAAAATTTTTTATCAATTGAACGTATATTATTTTTTAAATAAAAAATATTAAATAAAGGCCAAAAATTGGAAAATTTTATGGTTTCTTGAACAATAGTAATTTTGCTTCCGTTTCTTACTACTGGGAGAATTTGACGAAAGTCTTCACCTAAAATTATTATTTTATTTCCAAAAGATTTATTACTACTAAATAAATCTTTAAAAGTCCTATTAACGATTTCTAACGCTTTTTTCGGTATCATAGAAGCTTCATCCGAAATAATTACCTTTACATTACGTAATTTTAGTTTATCTGGCTTAAACTGGAAGAACGCACTTTCTATAGTGCTTAAGTCTAAAGGAAGTCTGAAAGTTCTGTAAGTGGTCATTTCCTTTGGAGGCAGAACAGAAGTAATACCTGTCCAAGCCATTGTAAGAATTTTTTTTTCAATTGATATGAAATAATAAATTAATGTTTTGTATAGAAAAGTTCTTCCAGATCCACCAAGACCATCGATGAAAAAAATTTTTTTTCAAGTTTTATTATTTCTTGAAAAATTTGACGTTGATCATGACTGAGTTGTGAAAACTTTCATGGAATTTATGTTTACAAAATATTCTTTCATCATTGTCAGTATCGATATTTTTTATTATCGTTTCTGTTGGTTCTGGTAAACTGAAATCTTTACAAGACATTTTCAGAATTAAAAATTTCGTTTGATTGTAAAAAAGCATTATTTTGATCATCTTTACAATCTTCAATGACAAATTTTCTGTATTTGTTTCAAATAATATCACCAAAAAAATTTTCAGACATAATAAACCATGCGAAAAATTTTCGTAGTTAAAAAAGCAGCATAACGTTACATGCTTCTTCAAAAATTAAATTGCTTTGAAAATCGTGTTCCACTAATCCCATAGAAATAGCTGTTATTAGTCAGGGAAAATAAAAAGTGATTGTTAAAAATTCATGTAATTAATTATGATCGAAATACATTTTCTACATATATAAATTTTAAGTAACAATTAATATAATTTGGATTTTTTTCCATACTTCGTAAATCTAATTTGCAATTACGGGGGTTGGTGCGCAGAACGCGCAGGGGGCATTTATAGTTATAAGAGCTTAGAAATATCTATTGACACATACAGGGTAGACAGCTTATTTAAAAAGGAGAGCCACTAGAATAAATAATAAAGCTCACCATCAAAAAGTCAAGGGCACATCTCTCTGTCTATATTGAGTTTACCACTTTTATTTGAAATTAGCAGCTTGTTCTTCATATTTCCTTAAAAGCAGACCAGTAATTATTCCACAGCGTAAAAAATTTATTCCCGAGTATTTTCGAAAAATGCCATGGTCTTCTGAATTCTGTAAAATATACTTCAACATATTAGTTTCATACTAACAATTAATTTTATTATTTTTTAAGGCTTTAAAAAATATTGACACAAACTTTATTTTGAAAAAATCACACTTATAACGCAATAAAAGGAGGGATGGAGTGCGGAGCGCGTAGGGAGGCGGAGCCCCACTAGTATATAAATATATAAAACCAAAATTGGCTCAAAGTAACAATTACCATGGGCTTCCTAACAGGAATCCACATGATCGAGGTGCACAAGTAGAGAGAGGTTAGACTATGAACAAACATAACCTCAATTTTTTTATTTTTTGACTTTATCTTGAAAAGGAAAGTCAAAAAAAATTTTTTACTTAGTATGTCATGTTTTGAAAATTGATACGGACTTTCCAAAAATCTTTGGAAAATTTTTTTATAACATAACCTTCCAAAATTAGAAAAACAGTCGTATTTCGAAATAGGAGCCAGATAGATCAAAAATAATTATAAAAATAACAATTCGTATCTCATAGGCAAAGTTACCACCTTTATATCCTACCTGTAAATTGATTTATTTTCTGTTTTCTATAGTGTATTATCAGAAAAATTGTCACGTTACCAAAACTTGTATTCTTCTTATTAATTTTGAAATCGGTAGAAATTAGTTGAGCACGGGTGAATTTTAATATTTAATTGTAAGTTACCATAGAAAACGAATGAAATGAAAAATTACAATTTTACAATGGAAAATAGCTAGATATTTGTTGTTTTTCTTAATCTTAATAATACATACTGGATTATTTTACTTTTATGATAGCCAAAATTAAAAAAAAATTTTATTCATCGGATACAAAGATTCCAACAAAGTTTGATTGAACACATATGATGTAATATCAAATGCACGAATATTAATTTAAAATAAAAGGAATTTTTGTCCCGCATAATGGGACAAAAGAACCTATTTCCGGCGCACTATAGTGAAAATCTTTGTTTTATTCTGCATTACATGACCAACAATTCGTACATGTATTACATATATCATAGCAAACATGGAAGTACTTAGAATGCGCGAATCATAACATAAGTAGTAAATTAAGGTATATGTAATCTATGTACCCGCGTGCTCGAATACGTGATAATATTAAAAGTTTCACTATTTCAATATGGGATTCTTAAAGATCTATTAAAATCAGGTGTACTTTAATTTTCTGAGTTTTTATTATACCTTGTTTAATGACATTTGAGTTGGAAGTTTCACTTCTGCCGGGGGGTCCCGAGACCTATACCTGGGTATTTCAATGTACTTCTATGCAAAATTCCATTATATCTTTGTCAGAATCGAATTTGGCCATGTTAATTACAAGTTTCTTTAAATTAGATTTTACATTAATATTACTTTGATTTAACATTTTTTTTCTGTACATGTTTAGCAATAGACTGACACCTACGTATCTGGACTTCTCATAAGATTTTGTAAAAAATTAAGTCTATATCTGTATCGTAAAGCAAGACAGATTTTGAGTTGAGTAGCAGCCTTTAATCCGTCAAGAGCCTATAAATAGTTAGTAAGAAATTTATATGAATTTGACGTGCAAATCACAAGGACATCTTTGGATGCTGTCAAGTAGTGTTTCAGTGACGTTCACAATTTCTTACGTCAAATCTTCACCACTTAATTAATTAGACGGTAATACGACTAATCGATTATTATCTTTTAAAGTTAAAATGAAATGGCAAACTTTTAAAAACATTTTAACATTACGATTTCTTCACCTTGAATACAAATTTCAAAATTTTTTTGCTCGCACGTTACTGCAAGAAATATCTTATTAGCTTGAGTATGTTTTTCGACTCGTATAATAGAATCAAGATACTTTGTTTGCAGTTTATGCGTATGTAAATAATTACTCATATACCCATGCTCAACTTCAGATAAGATAAATCATACACTAATGAATTGAATTTCATCATTTAGAAAACATTTTTAATACAGTTGTTTTTTTATAATTTTTTTTACAGAATACTAAAAGGAAATAATTTTTCAAACCTTGAGTTCAACGTTTTGCTCAATCTACCTAAACTTCAAGAGCTGTAAGTACAAACGATTACTACATGTATTTTATACGAAGCATTTTGAATTGAAAAAAATTGTTTTCATCCATACATTTTTTTTTATAGGGACGTCAACTCTAATGTTTTAGTTGATAATTTTACACTTACTTTATCGAATGAAACGCAACTCAAGTGGCTTAAGCTCAATAAAAATCGACTTACACGCATACCGGCATTAAAACTTCTACATCTAACGCATCTTTCACTGTATGTATGACAATTACTGAAACATTTTATTCATATTTTTTTATTGGTTTGTGCAGTACAAATAATTTTGAATCAGTGTGAGGTAGATATAATGACTTGAATCGTATATTGCACATTGCAAGCCTGTCCCTTGAGTAGTTGTTTATCGTGTAGTAGATTATTATTACTTGAACATAGCACTATAGTTCCCGTTTCAAATGACATAGTAAATTTTTAATAAGGTTAGTTTCCGTCAGAAACAAGGCCTGAATTGCAACTGCAAGGATTTCAACTAATCTGTAGCACAAATCGCTAAAGTAAATTCACGTGAGATAATAAATGTTTGTCCCTGTGAAAATACTAGGCTTTTTAACGGCGTGATTCCAAAATTAATACTTACGTTTTTTACCCCTATTTTGAAGTTTAAAAAATATGTGGCTGTTGTGCTATTGGAGTCCAATAATTCATTACGCTTATCCTTATGAATTTCGTTGAAAATTTGACGTCTTACTAAAAGTTTTTCTTATTTATAACAGCCCAAGTGTGACCCAAGTCCCGTACACCGTATGTATGCATACTGTACGAGAACTTTGATTTTTATTTGTGAAAGCCACATATTGACATCGAATTTTTTTCTAAAAGGGTCAAAATTACTAAGTATAGTACTCTCCCATGATTTCTGCACTTCAAAATCATCACTTTTTACTGCAGCGACGATTTTTTTACATCACTTCTTCGATTGGGCTTCGACAAGAGTCAGTTAATCGGTTGGGCCTGGAAAATGGCAGTTATTTGCTTAGATCTTGTGCTGATTCAAAAAAGTGGTAACTCAAATCATTTCAAAAATTTTTTAAAAGTACACTAGAAAATAGTATGCTTTCTGGTCCTAATTGAATTTTTAAAAAATAGAGTTAATCAGTCTCTCCGGAAAGCCACAGGTATACTTTTCCATATACTACATCAAAATACCCTATCCATATTTTTTTCTTATCATTGGCAAAACTCATACAAGGTCTAAATCAATACGTTTAAAATGATTTTGATGCTAGTTAATACATAACGAATTCCACGTGGCCTTTGAATGATCCGGTGGCCTTACCGTCGGTGGCTCGGCCGCCGCATATAAAAAAGGGAGAAATATTGCAATTTATATGTATAAAAAGAAACAAATAAAAGCGAACAAAACTATTGACGTTGATGTATAAATGTGTGTTTGTGTGGGTGTAAATCGAATTTACCAAAGAGATATTTGGGATTTGAGATTTTCGCTACGGAGCTCTGTACGTAATGACTACGACCAAGCGAGTGCCGCGTGAGTTGGCCGCCAAGCACGACTCGGCTTGAGATGATGGATATACACAGCAACGGTCTGCGCCGTGGGTGCCCATTTCTTGTCCAAACTAATGAAACGTATAACTATATATAGGTGTGTGCAGTGCATGATCGCGCTCTTGGTTCCGCAAGCAGCGCGTAAGCCTTAGATCCACACTATTAGAAAGACGCAGTACGACTGTACATCCTCCGAGCGAGAACTGCGAAGCAGAGTTACATATAACTAAAATTTTAATGAAGCTTGGCAATTAGCACATAAGATTGTATATTAAATTTTACGCTACTCGTGCTGATGAATAGATTAGTATAGAATAAGTGAAATTAGTTCTTGCTCGAAGCATTGACTTAAAGAGTTACAGATTCGCAATAATTTTTTTATTGAATAACAACCCTAGAATTAAAATGTGAAACTAACTGAAATTTAACCTAAACTATTCTAGATTCAACTTTGAACAATGATTCTAGATTGAACAATACATACATGTATTCGAATTTTAACAATTCGCTATAAACTAACGCAAACAATAATGAGTTCAAACAAATTACCAATATCAGAAGTTATCTTAAATAAATTCGCATTTTTGAATTTAAATAAAGATACAAATTAAAATTAGCCTTGCATTTATCTATGACTAGCAATAATCTTTACAAACGGTCGAGTTTCCTTTGGAGTGACTAGAACCAGTAATTGATCTCAAAAACATAAAATAAAACAAATTGAAGTGAGTAATTGGATTTATCGACATTTCCCATCCATTACGAGATTGCCAAGGCAACTCGATTTTTTTAGTTGAAACTATGATTTGTAGAAAAATTGTTATACGTAGCAATAAAAAAAAGTGCCACCTCGACCAGGATTTGAACCTGGAACTCTTTTCTTTCCGGGAAAGTGCGTTACCAATTTCGCCATCGAGGTCTCGGCGACTTCTCTTCTCAATTGCTACATTTTATATTTTTGGCGATTTTTCAGTCCATGCCTGCTCATATTAAACCAATTGAAGGTACTTGATTTAACGAACTTACATTTATGATACGGTCATCGAACAGGGCAGTTCAAAAAGTCAAAATTTTTTTATTTAAAAGAATCAATGAACTTGAAGATTTACAAAATTAACTTATCCCTTTAAGGCAAAAATTACATGTAGGTAACGGGTAAAAGATATAGGCTAGTAATATTGCGTTTACAGACGGTATTTCCAGTCTTGATTTTAGCAACTCAGGCTACGTCGTCGTCTCCAGGACAAAATTCAAGGACCAGGCCCAGTGGACACCGTCCAGATGGTACCACCTTCTCAATGAGGACAACAATTTAACCAGGCTTGATCTCTCTGGTTGATTTATGCCATTTCTGACAGATATTGAGTTCATTAAGATAATCGGTATGCCACCGATTCCAGAAGTCTTGTCTAGCTTTGGTAATGAAGTTCCAGATGGATAAGCAATTGTCCGACACTGAAACAAGATTTTTCTCGGGTAAACTTTTGAATGATTTTCCTATGAGTACATACGCAGGTGTTAAAGCTTGAGGGTCGTTGAGATCCGCAGAAAGAGTGCATATTGACCGTGAATTTAGAATTGCCTCAATTTCAATGAGGAGAGTTTGAATTTGTTTAAAAGAAAGTAGTTGATCCTTCAGGATGCGTCTTGAATGGTGTTTTAAACTCTCTACTGTGGCCTCCCAAAAACCACCAAAGTGGGGAGAGAGGGGTGGATTAAAATTCCAAACGATGCATTTGGAAAGAGCGCAATTTTCCATCTCCCCTTTGTACTCTGGTGTTTGGAATAGGTCATAAATTTCTTTCAATTGATTGTTTGCTCCTAAAAAATTGGTTTCATTATCTGAATAGACGTGCTCTGGTATTCCTCTACGAGTAATAAACCTGTGGAAGGCAGCCAAAAACCCCTCGTAGATAAATCGTGCGCAAGTTCGATGTGAACTGCTTTGGACTTCATGCATGTAAAAACGCATCCGTAGACTTTACGAGTCGTCCGCTTTTTGAACTATTTTTCCTTAATTAAAAGATGTTCTAAAAAAGTCCACGCCTACATGGCTAAAGGCTGGGGCTTCAGTTACGCGAAATGATGGTAAATCTGCCATTTGGGCTTGTAAAGGTTTGGGTTTGCAGCGAATACATGTCACACAATTTTGAACGATCTTTCTAACCTGATCTTTCCCATTTATAATTCAAAAGCGTTCTCTTGTCGAATATAGAGTGGATTGTATCCCTCCATATAAATTCGTCAGATGATACAATCTGATGATTAAATCAGTTACATGATGCTAACTTGGAAGTAAAATCGGGTATTTTTAAATATATTCAAGTTGTGAGTTTTTTAATCGACCGCCCACACGCAAAATTCCGTTGTTATCAATAAAAAGATGTAAGTTATCGAATTAAGTCGTTTTTCTGAAAGGTACAGTAACTTGCCTGGGCTCGGAGTTGCAATCGGTTGGTAGCCGTTTTATTTTAATCGAAAATCTTCCGTGCTGTACAGCGTGAAGAAGACATCGCTCTGCTTCTTGCTTCTCACAAAGTGCAATGGGCAGTCTTCTGTAAAGCTTTGTCGGCCATCTAAAAATTAAGGCTAATGATTTTAAGGAGACCATCATATGATGAAAACCGAGAGTATATGTACTGCGTCTGTGGTCAGCAGACAGAACCGTTTTTTTAATCCAGGGTCTTCTCGTATAGATATTTCAACGCTAGGTAGCCAGTTCTTCTCTGCACAGGATAGCCAATCTAGATCTGTAAACCAAGTTTTAATACTAAAGAAATCTACAGGAAGTTTTCCTGTGGATAGTGCGTCTGCTGGGTTATCGCCTGTTCGAATGTGTCTCCAGTCGACCTCGTCTCCTAGAGTTTAAATATCAGTGACCTTGTTAGACTCAAAAGTTTTCAATAAATGTGAAGTCTCCTTAATTCAATGCAGCGCGATGGTGGGGTCGAACCAGAGGACAACCCGTTTGACCTGACAACCGAATTGGGATCGCATAGACATGTATAATTTCTTAAGCAGAGATGCAGTGGATAATTCTAAGCGGGAAATCGTTAAATATTTAAGAGGAGCAATCCGCAATTTGGCGTACGTGAGCATTACCAGCACCCTGACTTCTGTGTCTACTGACCTAAAATAAAGACAGGCTCCATAAACATACTTGGATCAGTGATGCCAGACGGGATGGCATTCCCCTCAAACCAGATTTCAGAACTCTAGAGACTCGCAGGCTGTAGGCTGGCGCTACAAGAGTACAGCTCGAAAGAGTCTCTACCACAGTTCCCCTTCTCCTATACTCTCCCTCTCCATGTGATCTGCATGGTTACCCCAAGTCCGCTCAAACAGCTTATATATTACATCTGTACCCCCTCATATACAACACGCCGTAGCCGAGCGGATGGATTCATTTTCGTTTTTGCTGGTCGTAAGTTCGAATCGCATTTGCGTATTTTTTTTTTTTGCAGTCACTGTTTTAGTACATTTATTAAAATTAACTTATGCTTTTAAAAACTGCATCGACAATTAATTTTTATTCGAGTTTTATGAATTGACGGCTCTGAAAAAAAGCATGTTTTTATTATTGTATCTCTAAAAAAGTAACAATACTAGCTGCATTCTAATTAACAGTAGTGACATCTCTAAATAGAGATCAATAATACTCTTTAAGTTCCAATAAGTAATAACAAGTGATG